CCCCTCGCCTCTCTCTCAATCCTTTTCGCTCGCCGACACGCCAACCCAGGCGCCCGCCTCCGCTCCAACTACCGCGGAGCCCACGCCGGCGACGTTAGCGACAGTGGCGACGTTTCCTCCGTCACAAATGCAGTCGCCGTTGCCGTCGCCATCGTCGTCGGCGTCGGCCATGGACATAAGTTCTGTGCCGTCATTACAAATGCCGTCGGCGTCGGCGCACGCGCACGTGGCAGGGGAGGAGAGCCTTCCGCAGTTGGCGGAAGCCGGAGCCGGGGTTGGCAGGGGCGCGGATCAAATCGACGCGGATCGTGCCGTTCTTGACGGCGCGGCCGACGCGGGCGGTAGCGAGAAGTGTTTCTTGCGGCCCGCGCTGCCGCCTCTGAACATCGACGCGTGCAGCAGAGGGGGCAAAGTGCGCCGCGGCCATCTTCCGCCCATCCCGCTGCCGCGCAACCCGAGCTATTCCAAGGAGTACCGCCTGGGTCGCAGCGGCAGCGGGCGCAGCAGCGGCGCGTTCGAGGACCTTCTGCTCGCCGCCTCCGCCGCGTCGCCCTCCGCGCACCCGTCCCCGCCAGCCTTCGCCGCGCACCCAGCGCCGTCTGGAAGCTCCGGGGGCTGGCATTGGCAGAGCCTCAGCCAAGAGGTGCGTCGGCCGCGCCGCTCCGCGTTCTTTCCTCTCGCACGATCCCTTCATTTCCCCGCGTCTCAACCCCTAGCATATATTAAAACCCCCTCTCCCTCTCTCATCCTTCCACCCTTCCACCCTCCCCCCTACACCCCCAACGCGTTCCCTGCCCCTCTCCCCCAAACCCCGTGCCCTTGATTGGCAGATGCGGTCGGCGCAGCACGCGTGGTCGCTGGAGGGCAGCGGGGTGGCGGAGGAGGGCGGGTGGAGCGCGCAGCAGGCGGAGTGGATGGTGGGCGGGGACGACGAGGGGCTGGGGTCCGCGGAGTCTCTGCAGCTGATGCGCCAATGGGAGGCGGAAGTCGAGGGGCTTCCGCTCACGGTGGGGGGAACAGTGATGATGGGCATGGGGGGGGCCATGGGGGGGGCTATTGGCGGGGGAATGGAGGGCGAGGAGGAGGAGGAGCCGGGGTCGCCCAGCACGCCCAGCATGGCTCCGCGTTCCACGGACCTCGAGTGCCCGGACGCCCCCAACTCCAGGTATGCCGCTCGCCGCGCTGCGCCCGCCTTTTCGTAGTCGCGCAATTCCACCCTCGTGTCCGCGCTCATGATAGATACGTCTCCGCGTGTCCAGCGCGTTTCTGCCTGGCGCGGCAGTCGGAACGTTTGGAGTTGATGGTGCTAATGTGACGTGTGTGGGGTGGGGGGTTGTTGCGCTGTGTGCGTGTATATGTGTGTGTCTGTGCGAAACGCGGTGCGCAGGGTGCGAGGCGAGATGTGTCGCACGAGCAGTCTGCACGACACGAAGCTGCTGATGACGACGCAGCTGAAGCGGTCGCACTCCATATTCCTCTTCGACCGCCACTTCGAATTCGTGCGCGAGATAGGCCGCGGCTCCTACAGCATGGTCCGTCAGTCCCGCTCGCCTCCACGCCCACCCCCCACCCTCTTCCCAGCCCACCCCATTTCACAGTGATCGCCCCCCGTCTTGCACCCTCTCGCCTTCCGCCCCGCCCCATCCCACTGCTTCTTGCCTCACTCTTCCTGTTTCTGCTCTCGCTCCTGGTCCGTTCCCAAAACTTTCACCATCCCCTGTACCCTCTCCTCTTACCTTTCTCATACCCCCAACCCCCCCACACCTCCCCCCCCCCCCTTCACCCCCTCCTTTTCCCCCTCCCTTTCCTCCCCCAATTCTTTCCCTCTCCCCGCGCGCGCAGGTGTACGAGGCGCGCGACCGCAAGGGCGGCGCGCGGTGCGCGGTGAAGGTGAGCAAGCGGCAGTTCCGCAGCAAGGGCGAACGCGAGCGGTACATGCACGAGATCGAGAGCGTGGCGAACGTGCCGGAGCACGCGCACATCGTGCGGTACTACCGCGGGTGGCAGCAGGACAGCCACTTCTACCTGCAGATGGAGCTCTGCGAGGGCGGCAGCCTGCGCGCCCTCCTCGACTCGCTCCCGCAACCGCTGCCCGAGGACCAGGTGCGCAAGCATGCACGCGCATGCGTGGGGCAGGGTGCAGCGCGGGGGGAAAGGGCGGGTGGGTTGGGGGAGGGGATGTGTTGGAATACCAGCGCCCATGGTTTTTTTAGTGGCCCTAGACATAAAGTCGAGAGGGGGGAGTGACTTGCGAACTCCCATGCTGTGGGTATGGAGCGTGAGGCATGGAGCGTGAGGCATGGAGCTTGAGGCATGGCGCATGGGGCACGGGGCAGGGGGCATGGGGCATGTCGCATGGCGCATCGCATGACATATGGGCATGGGGCACGTGGTTGGGTGCCTGATGAGGGGATAAGGGAGGTGCATTTCTGCAGTAGCTGCGGGGGAGGTATCACTCGCTCCCTTGTTCTCGACCACTGCTAACGTCTGCAGCATGCCCTCTTCAACACCACGCCCCCCAACCACCGCATGTTCTGGGTCTCGTTGCCTAAGGGCTGTAGCTTGCAGCCTTGCAATGCAGTGCCTCACCAGTGCGACTGTGCTTGTGCATGCGCGCATGTGTGTGCGTGTGGAGTGCAGGTGTGGAGGTTCGTGCGGCAGGTGGCATCAGGGTTGGATCACATTCACAGCAGGGGCGTGCTGCACCTGGACATCAAGCCAGACAACATCTTCATTGACGCCCATGGTACCACACACCCACCCACCCCCTTCCCGCCCCCAAACCCCCTCCCTCTCTTCGCCCCCGCCATGCCTTGCGCCCCCCCCCCCTCCGCCCTCCTGCCTTCCATCCTCTCTCTTTTCCTCCTGCCGTCCAACACTCTCTCTCTGCTTCTCTTCCTCTGTATCTTTGTTGATCACATGCGTCGTACCCATGTCTCGCTCCGTCTCTTGCACGTGATGTGCTGCTCACAACCAACCCCCTGGCGGTGTGTGCTGGGTGATGCGTGCAGGCAATCTCAAGATCGGGGACTTTGGGCGAGCGGTGTGGGAGCAGCGGTGGGATTGGGAGGAGGGTGATGGGGGGTACCTAGCTCCGGAGCTGCTACAGGACGAGCCACCCACCACAGCGACCGACATGTACAGCTTTGGCGCCATGCTCTTTGAGCTCGTCTTCGCCACCCGCCTCCCGCGCTCTGGCCTACCACCCTCCGCCTGCCCCTCCCCCTGTGGCGCGCCCTCCCCTTTCAGTGCGCACGGCGCCCCCTCCCCCTACGGCATGCCGTCCCCCTACAGCCCCTCTCCGTACTGCGTGGCTTTCTCCTCTGCTGCGCCCTCGCCTGTGGCCTCTGCGCCTTGTCGCGCCAACCCCAGCTTCCCCCCGCCGCGCTCCACGTCGCGAGGGGCAGGTAGCCCTGCCAAGGGGGGAGGGAGTCCGCTGAAGGGGTTGGGGACGCGGGGGGGCATGGGGGGCAGTCCTGTGAAGCCCATGGGGGGGAGTGGTAGCAGCCCAGTGAAGGGGGGAGGGGATGGGGTTGGTAGTCCAGCAGAGAGAGGCACAGGAGGCAGTCCGTGCAAGAGCATGGGGCGTAGAGGGAGTGGGGGCCTGGCAGGCGCTGTGGCAGGTGCGGCAGGAGGAGGGTCGGGGAAGGATTGGAGTGCAGCAGCAGCGGCTGCGGCAGCAGCTGTGGCAGCGGCGGATGCAGCGGTGGGTGCTGGGTGTGGGCGGTCGGAGCACCTGAGGGAGCTGGTGTTTGCACTGCTGCACGGGGACGCTCAAGAGAGGCTACAGGCACATGAGGTGGTGACGATAGCAGACGCAGTGCTGCGAGGGGAGGTGGACCTGGGGCAGGGGTGCATGCACAAGGCTCGAGAAGGGGCAGAGCAGTGTGGGGAGGAGCAGCAGCATGTGGAGCAGATGCAGGGGGGGAGTGAACGTGAAGGGCAGTGCGAGGAGGTTAATTGTGACGATAGTGGGGCCGCTATGGCGTTGGATTGAGTTGGGGGAGTGTAGTTTTCCGGTGCGTTGTCTTTGTATGGTGATGGGGGCTAGGCCTGTCTTCTGCTAAAGAGCCACACGTGTTGGTCAAGGCCGGAATAAAATGGCCAGTCACGGAGGTTAGATTTTTTTCATTAGAGAATGCTAAGCGAGTTGCACGTATGTCTGGACGTCAGTCAATGGTACTTCAGCAGGTAGATTGTGTAAACTGCAATGTGAATTGCACCTCTGGAAGAACCTGAGGAATTGCTTGATTGCAGGCCTTACACGTGGCCTATGGGTTTCCCTTTCTCAGCAATTGCGTCCAGCACATGCGACATACCTAACCAATCTAGTAACGGTACTTGAACATCTTCACACCAGTGCAGCAGTGTGATGTGAGCAGCGCCGAAAGCACCGACCAGTTGCCTGTCAGTTACTCCTCAACCGTGCCATGAGCTACCCCTCCTCTCCCCATGCCATGCCATGTAAGCCACTGAGCACAGGGGCACGTGCGGTGTGCGGGCATCAAAGCCAGGCATCAAAGCCAGGCATCAAGAATGCAACCACTGCACACCCACACAGTGCCACAGCAGTGCCCCTTCTCTCAACCTGGCACTACTCGTGGGCAACAACGCCTGCCCTGTGGAGAGATTCTGCCATGAGGGGGTGGGGGCCGCTGAAACAGGATAGGGTGCCATGTTGTCTTGAGTGGTGTGGGTCGGCATGGAGTGGCATGGGGTGACATGGCTGTGGAGTGGAGTGAAGGTGCGAGGAGTAGATGCGCCGCATCACATAAATAGGCGCAACACCGTATGTGCTCAACACGTGCAACAGGTGAAATGTTGGAGGTTGAAGCAACGAGGCAACATAAGCAAGAAAAGAGAGTTCCAAGTCAAGAACTCGGAACGCCTGCGACCTAAGCAGGCCTTAAGAAAATTCTCACAGCAGACCAAGCACCCATCAGGTTGTTACTGGAGCTGTAGACACTTGAGCCATGGCAGTGATAGTGACTGTGGGAGTGTCATGATGGGCGGCAAGGCGGCAGGTGCAGAGGGAGAGCTCCCACAGCTGAGCACAGAGAATGATGAGGCAAGGCAGGCAGGGAGATGGCGATGCACGCATTGAGCAGGTCAACCACCTGGTGCATGGGGTGGTGGTCAGGCATGCTGCAGTGGGATGCGGTGCAGCGTGATGGGGTGCAGTGAGGCGGGGTGTAGTATGGAGGGATTGGATGTGCGTCTTGTACATGGAGGAGAAACGATGCAGGATTGAGCGCAGTGAAGGGGAGTGCAGATGAGAGGCAGCACGCAGCAGCGAGTGGAGGGTGAAGGGAAGGGGGTGAGTGCGAGTAGGTGCCATCAAGTTGGGTGGGTGGGATGGAGTGGAGCCACTAATGACTGTGCAGGTAGGCTGATACAGGAGTACTGCAAAGGGAGAGAGAACGGGGACCATAGAACGAGGCAATCGAAAGCACGGGTATACCATCGGAACTTCCCCAAATTCACCCCCCTTTCCCCACCCACCTCCTTTCCCCGCTCCCTATCCATGAACCACCCACCTTGCAGTGTGCGGCCATGGGCCAGCTCTCAACGATGGAGGGGCAGGCACGTGGTGATGCTGCCCAGCACACGGCCCGCCATGAGGGCACTCGGGCAAGTGCTTTGTGAGGCTCGATGAGATGCACGTGCGGCAGTACGTGATGCTTGGGTTGCGCTGCCCACTGGAACGGGGGGAGGGCGATAGGCGCACGCACATCTGTGAGACGACTAGGTTACTTGCGTGTGCAAGGGGGACAGTGTGAATCTGCGTGAGAACGTGTGTGTATGAGGGTGTGTGAGTGAGGGTGTGAGTGAGTGTGTGTGCAAGTGAGCGTGAGAGAGAGGGTGTGACTAAGTGTACTACCATACATGCAAGTAGAACTGGGCTGTGAGGTCAAGCACTGCAGCAACGCATCATCCCATGCACACACCTGCAGCGCACAGCAGCGAGCAAGTGCCTATCAGAACGATGGAGAATTGCCAGCAGCACGTCTTGCCAGGATCCGCAGCCCAGTGCACAGCTTCACATGTGGCAGGCCAGCACATGAGCTTTGAGCATAATCCCATGCTTAGCTCATTGCTCGACCCTGCCAGCACTAGCCTAACAGGTTGTGAAGCTCATGCACAATGACAATTCTCACGCATCGACCCCGCCAGGACTGCCCTCAGCTCAGCCCCCAGCCGGTCATTCAGCTCCTGTTGAAGAGGGGAGGAGAGCACAATGAGAGGCGATGAAGGGAGAAGGAGAGCAGAAAGGGGGGAGCAGAATGAGAGGGGGTGAAGGGAGAAGGAGAGCAGAAAGGGGGGAGCACAATGAGAGGCGATGAAGGGAGAAGGAGAGCAGAAAGGGGGGAGCAGAATGATAGTGCGCACTGCATGGGCCTGCCAGCACCGACCTCGGTTCCACCCCTGGCTGGTCGATCAGTTGCTGTCACGCGGAGAAAGGAGAGAGTGGGGAAGGGAAAGAGGAAGGAGGGAAGAAGAGAGGGGGGGACAGGAAGGAGGAAGCAGAAAGAAGAGCACACAATTCTTTCATGGTGGACCACCCACCAGGGTCATGTGTGCTGCACAGCTCACCTGCAGGTGCGACTTGGTTGGTGGCGACGGTATCGGGTGTGGCTGCCAGGCACATGCTCAGCCACAGAAACTCACCAGTGAGCACAGAGTATGTGCCCTCACCCTCACCTGCAGCGTGTGCTCGCATGGTTGGTGGCAACGGTATCAGGCGTGGCAGGCACATACTCAGCCACGTGTATCCATGCCACTGTGCCAAACCCACGCACAAAATAGATGTCGCTGGGGGTGATCGGGAAAGGGAGAGAAGGACAGGGGCGTGGAAAAGAATTGCCTTAATATAGAGCCACTGTGCCAGAATGTTTGCTTCAAACACACAAGAATGCATCACAACAATGACCACTCGGTCACCTGATACAATCCATGCGTGCGGTTACCCTATCCATGCAGTTACCAGATGGTATCCACGCGATAGAAATGGAAGCACTGCTGCGCCGCCCCGTGCTGGTGCCGCTTCACATAAAAGCCCCGCGCCCACTGCTGGCCACGGTAAGATGTGGAGGCGGGGGAAAGAAGGGGGGAAATGGAGGGAGGTGACGAGCAGTAGTGGATGCATAGTACAAGGAGCACTCATGTGCCGCGTGCTGGTGCCTCTTCACACAAACGGCCCGCGCCCACTCCTGCGCGTGGGGGTACAGCGTGCACGAATTCCCGAATATGGTGGCGCGCGCATTGGCAAGGCCACTCCACCCCGGGATCTGCACCACCACGGTGCAGCGCGGGTCCGATTGGAGGTTGCGCGAGTGCATGCGGAGAGGGGACAGCAGGAAGACAGGGTCTGGGGGGAACGGAGGGGTTGGGGGGTGGGCAGGTGAGGAGGGGGTGATGAGGGGAATGGCAGGAGGAGGGATCTGCACCACCACGGTGCAGCGCAGGTCGGATTGGAGGTTGCGCGAGTGCATTCCCAGGGGGGACAGCAGGAACACGGGGTCTGGGGGGAACGGGGTGGGGGGGCGGAATGGCCGGGAATGGGGGTGGAGTGTAGCATGTCATCATGCATTCATTTGGGCATCCCTTTCCTCTCACTCTCCCCTCTTCTCCCTGCCCCAACTGCCCATCTTGCTCTCCCCCTCCCCCCCCACCCTCCCCCTCGTTGACTCACGGCCATCAGCAGCGGTCGTAAAGTCGACCAGCGATCCAGAGGGGTACCCGCGCGAATCAAACGGACAACCCGTGAGACGCTTGTGGGGAGGGGAGAAGGGCGGAAGGAGGGGAGGAAAGGAAAACTACCTCGCTCGCCCGCCCTCCCCTCGCCACTGCCACTCACCCGCCCCCACTCTCCCACCTCCACTCACCCGCTCTCACCATCCCCACTCACCCGTCCTCACTGCGCTATCCCCCGCAGAGGTCACCGACGCCCCCGCATCCGCCTCGCCCTCGCCCCCTGCAGCCGCTACGCGCCACGCCCTCCACCTGTAGGGGAGAGCGCGCGTTGCGCTTGGCGGAGTGGCGCAGCAGTCGGCGCGGAAAGGGGACGCGGCGGCTAGCGAGTGAGCGGAGGAGAGTAGGCGCGCACGGGGCAAGGGTATTCTGAAAACAAATGGGAGAGGGCGGTTGGCGAAGGGGGAAAAAGAACGAGAACAAGGAGGGGAGGGGATGGGAGAGGAAGCAGGGAACGGGAGGCAAGGAGAGGGACGGGCGAGAGAATGAAGAGAACGGGGGGAATGAGAAGTTGGAATCAAGTGGAGAAGAAATGAGGCCAGAAGGAGGACATGAGTAGGTGATTCGAAAATGAGGAGTGTAGCCGCTCTTGTTCTGAAATGTGGTTCATATCGCAGCAGCGTATGCGGCCTACACCACGTGTGAAGAAGAAACGCGCATTGCGATAAAGCGCGATAAAGCGCGCATTGCGTGTGAATGTTTCAGCGGCGACGACACACCTATATCGTTCGCTCGTTAGCGTCACACTTGGCAAGGGGCGGGAATGGGTTCCCGGGGGCAAGGCGGGGTGGACGCGGAGGGCCATGGGCCGGAGTCGCGCGGAACGGGAAACGCTGCGCGGAAGAGAAGGAATACGCTCGGCGAAAATCGGGGAAACCGCACTGCCAGGGCGGAGAAAATGCTGTTGGTGGAGACTAAGAGCACGCGCGACGCGGCTGCTGATGATGTCTCTAAGTGGGAGGGGAAGAATAGTCGAGAACGACAACGATGGGACTTGGTTTTGGTCGGCATGAAATGGAACTCGAGATATACATAAGACAGTATTCACTACAGCCGATGAGCAAAGGGCGAACTCGAACACGTTCGGGTTCGAGTTCGCTCGAACATCACCATTTCCCGAACCGAACAAGGTTCGGTTCGGCGAACAATTTGGCAAGCAGGAGGTGTTCGCCGTTCGCCCATGGGGGCGAACATTTGGTATATGTGGGCGAACTCGAACATGTTCGAACCGAACATGTTCGAGTTCGCCCGTGGGCAATTTGGTTATAGTCACATTGGTCAAACAGGGAATCTGGAGGGTTGGGAAGATAGATAGGGGGGTGGAGGGTGTATATGTGTTCATGCAACGCACACTAGCATACGACACCATCATGTTTTGCCTATATAAAAGTCACTGTCAAATTAAATCCTACGCCTGCACACCACTGCTACTACCAACAACAGCATGCTCCGCGTCAGTGGTGTCGCCAGCACCCACCCCATCCTGCTCCTCCTCCCCCTCCTCCTCCTCCCACTCGTCGTCCTCCTCCCCCTCGCCTTCAATGGCGAACTCTGGTGGTGCCTCGCCTTTTGCACGGCGGCCCTCGCCTATCCTCTGTCCTGGGTGTGAGCTGTACCATGATCTGAGAATCATGAACGCTCGCGTCCTCTGAGAGGCTAGGCGGTGCCGCTTCCAGGAAATGAGGTTGCGGCCGAGGGAGAACACGCGCTCGCTCGACGCGGACGTGGCAGGGATGGCAAGATAATCCCGGGCCATGCGCCTCAGCGTCTGCATGTTGGTGGCGCTGCGCCAATACTCCAACGCTGACACGTCGCACCGCACCCTCTCAGATAAGTACCTGCCAACCTCGTCATCCTGCACCATCCCACCCCTCCCCGCCTCCTGGCTCGCCGACAGACGCGCCGCAAGGCGTCGGCGACTAGGGAGAAACTCGGCGTCTTCGTCGTCATCCGCCGCGTCTCCCTCCTCCTCCTCCGTCACTGGGGCAAGTGGGGTCGGCCGAGGGGCAATCGCTGCAGCCCGGACCTGGTACTCGGCCACGCGTTCGCGAACCAGCTGGATCACCTCGCCTGAGGAGGGGCGAGGCCTCGCCCTCCGGTCGGTATCGGGATGCAGCGTCTCCCAGTGCGCGTCGTCGAACCACGCCGCCTTCATGGAAGGGTCCAGGAAGGTCGCGATCCACAGCTCGTTGCTGGACATCAGTTCATACTTCTTCAAGAGACCCAGCGCCGCCTCAATCATCGGCTTTAGCGTAGCCGATGGCACCTTGGCAAGGCGCGACTCCATAGCGTCGATCAGGCCGTTGTAGTACGGCAGGACCATCGCCACTGTAGGGTATGCCGCTCCCTCCGCTGCCTTTGAGACTTTGGCGAATGGGCTGAGAAAGGTCTTGACAGAATGCAGAGTCTCCCAGTCTGCGTCCGTCAGGCGCAAGGTGTCCAGCTTCGCCTTGTCAGTCTTCGACACGCCCTGTCGGGTAGAACGTATGGGTGGGCGGGTGTTTAGTCAAGTCAAGCATGGCCAACAGTGGTGCAAGGATCCAAAGCAAAACACCCCGACATATCCACAAATTAAACCGCATACACAACAACTTGCGGCTTCACACACACCTGTGTCTGGGCAAAGAAGACAGTGATGGGTTCCTGCAGAACCCCAGCTCGCTCGACCATGTCGTGGGTCGACCCCTAGCGTGTGGGACTGTCCTGCACCAACTTCAACGCCGGCTTCGGTTTGGCGGGGTTGGCCTGCGCGTTCAGGGTCCGCTGAAGGCCCAAGAACTTCCCTGAGCGCTGCGGAGAGAAGCCAATCCACGACGCCATCTCTCTCAGGATCCGCAACAACTTGCGGATGGCAGCCACTGCGAGAGCTGCCTTCACTGCAAGGTTGATCACGTGTGCCAGGCATCTGCGCACATCACCAAACATTAACGGCGGAGAGAAAGGGAAGTGTGAGTACACATTGGCATAGACCCGAGAAACACTTCCACTCTCAAGCCGCATAGGCCCACCCACTCTCATTGCACATCCCACGCACACTCCCTTCCGTACCGGAAGTGCATGCGCGAGTTGAAGAAGCACTGGCCACCACCCTCCTCCGACATCCACCTGAAAGCGGCAGTGTTGCTGGAGGCGTTGTCTGAGGTGAACCCAAGACAACGCGTCTCCAACCCCCACTGCACCACCGTCTCCTCAACCACCCTCGCCATCTGCTTGCCCGTGTGACGCCCGTGAATCTCGCGGAATTCAAACACCGTTGTGTGCAGCTGGAAATTCTCGTCGATCCAGTGACCCGTTACCACTAGCCACGCCGTGTTGTTGGGTGCCGTCCACATGTCGATGGTGAACGACACCCTGCACCCCACCTCCCCCTCCTTCGCCAGCATCTCCGTAACGGATGGCTGAAGAGCGGTAGCCGCATAGACCACCGTGTCGCGGGAAACCGTCCAGCGCGAGGGGATGAAGTTCTTCTGCGCGCAGTTGCGGTTTAGCAGGATGAGTAGCTCACGAAACTGGAGAGGGGTAGACACAAGGGGGGAGAGGGGACTAAACGAAAACCCGGGGCTGGGATGAAAATAATATAGCACTGGGCCACACGCAAAGAGTCAAAACACAAGCGGGTGCAACACATGCGTGGCGGGTGCAACACATGCATGGCGGGTGCAACACATGCATGGCGGGTGCAGCACATGCATGGCGGGTGCAACACGCATGGCGAGTGCAACATGCATGGCGGGTGCAACATGCATGGCGGGTGCAACATGCATGGCGGGTGCAACACATGCATGGCGGGTGCAAGATGCATGGCGGGTGCAACACATGCATGGCGGGTGCAACACAAGCGGACAGACCCGTCCACTAACCACTTACTTGCCCAAGAATGCATGGGATGGGATGGGGCACTTACAGCCTCGGCCTCGACGATGCGGAAGGGGAGGTCGCAGGTGACCACCAGCTTCGTGATCGCCTGCCGTAGCTGCACCGAGGTCAGTTTGGTTGTCATCCACCGCTCGATCCCGCCTGACCCATCACCTCCACCAGTCGCCTTCCCTTTCCCCTTGGCGAGTTGCGGCCAAGTTTTGGCATGTGGCCACTCATAGACGTAGCCATCCGGCACTCCCTTGTAGCCCCCACGGGGAAACGTCTCCCCTGGCAAGTGAACGGACGGGGTGTGGTAGCGGTGATGCCACACATGCATGTGCGCAGTGTGGAAGCTCGCAAAGTGCCGCTCGCCGGGGGTTGTTGTGGATTGCTTCCAAGAAATCCTGTCTGTGCAAATCTTGCACTGACGCTTCTCGTCTGCCCCTAACGGTCCGAACATCATTACCTGCCACCCCGGCTTCCTATTACCCTTGCCAGTCCCCTTACTGCTCTCGGACCCTCCGTCCTCGTCTAGGAACTCGGGAGCGATCACACCCTCGCCCAAGGGCTCCCCAGTGAACGTGCAGGGATACGCCCGCTCCCTCAACTTGTTGGCCTTCTTCCTCTGCCTCGGCTCCCTAATGGTCACGGCCTTTCTCCCCCCCACCTTAACCCCCACGCCCCCTCCCCCTTCACGCACATGCTGTGATCCCGCCTCTGTCGCCGCCCTTCCGCCACCCTCTCCCACCTCCTCCTCCCGCCCCTCTGGCTCCAACCCATCCATCTCGTGGTCTTCATCATCATCATCTCCCCCCTCCCCACCGCCATGCGTCTCTGGGTCCCACGCCGCCTCGCTGTCATCCCCGCTCCCCTCACTGTCCTCCTCCTTCTCGCCCTCACCATCCTCCTCCTCATCCTCCTCCTCACTGCCGCTCTCCGGCTGCGTCTGCCCCGAAGGAGGGGGTCGAGGGCCGTCGTAACGGAAAGAGCGACGGGAGGTCGGCGCCGGTACGGTAAGCAACCCCCCAACGAAGATCGCGCCGGCTCCTCCCGGTCCATCCCCTACCCGCCCCTGCATAGGTCGTGGTGGAGAACCCGGTGCGCTGACCTGAGCCCTGCCTGCACCTCTGCCTATGGATCCACCAGCCCTGGAAGCCATAACTCCGCCCTCTACCCTAAACCCTAAAACACCCTTCGTGCAACGGTAGCGTTGGATGGTGCCGCACGTTCCTAAAAGTTATCCCGCACGGTTAGGTCTCTGAAATGCCCGATCCGAATCCTACGGCGTAGGATACGCCCTACTTAAGCCCTTTGCGGAGATGCTGGTGTCAAATGTTGTAGCCTGTAGTGAGGTTTGTCTTAGGGGGTACAGAAGTTAGGGTTTGTTATATGTACCCCAACCAACATCAATGGAACATTCATTCCTCATTTTGACATGGTATCAGCTAGGTTAGGATCCTGTGGGATCCCGTTCCTCCGTTCTCCGTTCGTACCTCCCGAGCCTGATCCTACCTCTCGTTCGTACCAGTTCCGTTGTTACCGCGCCTAGTACCGAGCCTAGCGCCCTTTCCCCCGTCGCTTAGCGCCCTTTCTCCCCGTCGCCTAGCGCCCTTTCCCCCCCCCCCCCCTCGTCGCGTCGCGCCCTTTCCCCCCGTCGCGTCACGCCCTTTCCCCCCGTCGCGTCGTGCCCGCCTGTTCCCCCCCCGTCCCGTCGCCCTGTCCCGTCGCGTCGCCCTACCCCGTCGCGTCGCCCTGCTCCGTCCCGTCGCCCTGCCCCGTCGCGCCGCCCTGCCCCGTCGCGTCGCCCTGTCCCGTCGCGTCGCCCTGCCCCGTCGCGTCGCTCCCGCCCTTTCCCCCGTCGCGTTGCCCTGCCCTACGCCCTGGCCCGTCGCCCTGCCCTAAGCCCTGGCCCGTCGCCCTACCCTAGGCCCTGGCCCGTTGCCCTACCCTAGGCCCTGGCCCGTCGCCCTCCCTAAGTCCTGGGCCGTCGCCCTACCCTAGGCCCTGGCCCGTCGCCCTACCCTAGGCCCTGGCCCGTCGCCCTCCCTAAGCCCTGGCCCGTCGCCCTACCCTAAGCCCTGGCCCGTCGCCCTACCCTAGGCCCTGGCCCGTTGCCCTACCCTACGTCCTGGCCCGTCGCCCTAGCCCGCTCTTCCGCTGCGACTGAGTCCTCTTCCCCCCCGGTTGTTACTCGCCTGTTCGTTCGCTTTAGTTCTCACTATGGCGACTCCGCGAGTTCTTCGTTTCGACGCTGACGGTAGACCCCTTGACTTTTCCGTCTGGCTTCTTCGCGCTCGCCGTCTGTTAGAGAGTCAGGTCCAGGGGGGCGAGACCCTCTGGTCACACGCTACTGGTGACCTCCCCGAGCCCCCCGAGCCTACAGCTTTAGGCCCTGCTCCTGACGACGCTGCTACGGCCCGCTTTGCCCGTCAGCGCGCTGACCGGACGGCTTGGACGTCGCGTGACGCTGCGGCCTGCATCACACTCAGCAGCCTCCTCCCTGAGTCCGAGGAGGTCCACTTTACTCAGGTTCGCACCGCTGCTGCGTACCTCACTGCGATTAAGGCCCGCTACTCTACTCCCGCTACTGTCTCTCTTGGCCGTCTTTTCCTCCCGTTCCTGTTTCCTGATCTTGCCTCGTTTGAGCGCTCTGCTGACTTGATCGCTCACCTCCGCTCGCTCGACGCTAGTTACCGCGCTGCTTGCACTGAGGCACAGCTTGCACTGCTTCCTCCCCCCATGGCGATCACTGTCTATTTCATCGCCACTAGCCTCCCTGACCGCCTTGCCTCCGTTCGTGACGCGCTTCTGCTGAAGCACCCTAGTGAGCTGACTATCGAGGTCCTTGAGTCTGCACTCAAGGACGTCGAGAGCAACCTTCGTTCGGTAGCTGCCGCCTCTGGTACTGTGTCCCCCCCACTCTTCCACGGGTGCACAGTCCCGCAGTTACCCACCTTCACTGCCTCTCTTGCCACTGCCGCTACTGACGCGACTGCGGCTGCTGTTACGACTGCGTCGCGGTCCCGCGGCAGGGGGGGCAAGAAAGGTGGTTCTGGTGGAGGTGGAGGCGGAGGTAGCGGAGGTAGTGGGGGTGCTGTTGCGACTGGGGGTGGTGGGAGTGCTGCGTCTGGAGAGACCCCTCGTGCAGCGGCTGGTGACTCCACTGCACCTGCTGGTGGCGGCGACCCCCGAGCTCGTCAGTCGCCTCCTGTACTGCCGGCCCCGCTAGGTGGAGCAGCGGCGTGGTACCAGGCTCAGCGTCAGCAGCACCTTCAGCAGCAGCAGCAGCAGCCCCTTTCCTCCCAGCAGCCTCAGCAGCAGCAGCGTCAGCAGCTGGCTCCGGGGTCGGGGCTGCGTCAGCCCCAGCGCGGTGCGGCTTACCCTCCCTGCCCCTACCAGGTTCAGACAGGTCCTCGTCGGGGCCACCCTTGTGGCCGCTTTCACCCTCCTGGTCAGTGCTTTGCTCAGCTCACTGACACGGTCCGGTTGACCTACGGGGTTGGCGGTCCTGCTCCTGACTGGCTTCCTCTGGTTCAGCGCTACGGCTCCGCTCTGTGGGGCATGTCTGCTGAGCAGTTAGTTGATCTGATTAGTGCTCCTCATGCTATGTATGCTGTTGTTGACTCTAGTGTTTCTGACTCTGTTTACTCTGGTGTTGTTAGCTTAGGTGCTAGTCTTGCTCAGTTGCCAGTTGCTAGTGTAGGTACTTGTGTAGACTCTAGACCAGCGACTACCTCAGAGGACGCTTCGCTGTCGTTCACACTGGACTCTGGAGCCTCCCACTGCTTCTTCCGGGACAGCACGACACTTACACCACTTCCTGCGCCTGTTTCTGTAGCGTTGGCTGATCCCACTACGGGACCAGTCACTGCACGTCACACTACCACTTTACCGTGTCCTGCTGCTCCCTCCGGGTCTCTCACTGGGTTTCACGTCCCCTCGTTCTCCCGGAACTTGGTGGGCGTGCGACCCCTCGTGAGTCAGCACGTGGGTGTGTGGTTTGAGCCTTCTGGAGAGACTGCGGTGTGTGTTGACGGAGACTCTTACCAGCCTCTTGCTACCTTTACTGCTGAGCCGGGCTCGGGTCTCTACACTCTTCACACTGGCCCCCGTGCGCCGCAGCAGCAGCCGCAGCAGCAGCAGCAGCCGCAGCCGCAGCAGCAGCAGCAGCAGCAGCAGCACCAGCAGCAGCAGCACCAGCGGCCGCACCAGCAGCCCCCCCTACTGCCACTGCCCCCGGTTCCCCCCCCCGTTCGGGTCCCCGCGTCTCACCAGGTTGCTTCGTCCCCCCAGGTGTCTGTGTCGTGTCAGGTTCCTACGTCTGTTCCAGTCGCTGCGTCGTGCTCCTGCCGGTCGCTTGCCCACCCCACCGTTCTGTGGCACCACCGGATGGGGCACCCGTCCCTTCCTCGTCTTCGCGCTATGTCTAGTCAGCGTCTTGTCCTAGGCCTCCCACGTGTCTTGCCGTCGCTGCCGCCTTCGCTTGCGCCGCCATGTCGTCCCTGCGTCGAGGGTAGGCTGCGCGCCACCCCTCACTCCTCCCTTCGTCCGGCCACCGAGCCTTTTGAGACGCTTCACTTGGACGTCTGGGGCCCCGCCCCTCGTCTAGGCCCTGAGCGTTACTTTCTGGTGGTCGTTGACGACTTCTCCCGCTACACCACAGTGTTCCCTCTGGCGAAGAAGTCTGAGGTGACTTCTACGCTGATCAGGTGGTTGCTCACCACCGAGGACACTCGTGGTCGTCGTGTCAGCTGTCTCCACTCCGACCGTGGGGGTGAGTTTCGCTCCGGCATTCTCGCTGGATTCTGTCGCGAGCAGGGCATTCGTCAGTCCTGGACGCTTCCAGAGTCCCCACAGCAGAATGGGGTTGCTGAGCGCCGCATAGGCCTGGTCATGGAGATCGCCCGCACCTCCCTGACTCATGCCTGTGCCCCCCATTTTCTGTGGCCCTACGCGGTCAGGTACGCCGCGCACCAGCTGAACCTCTGGCCACGTGTCTCTCGACCAGAGGTTTCACCGACCAGTCTTTGGACAGGGTCCCCTGGTGTTGCGTCGCGGTTTCGTGTCTGGGGGTGCTTGGCTCTTGTCCGCGACACCTCCGCGGACAAGCTCTCGCCTCGTGCCGTCCCCTGTGTCTTCCTTGGTTTCCCTGAGGACTCCTCTGACTTCACCTTTTACCACCCTCCCTCTCACCGGTTCTTTGACTCCCGTGACGTCCGTTTCAAGGAGTCCACTCCGTACTACGTCAGGTACCCCAGTCGAGGTCTCCCGGTTCCTCCTCCCCCCCTCTTCCTGACTGCCGCTCCCCCTCCTGCTCCCCCGGTACAGCCTCCCCCCCCTGGCCCAGCCCCGTCAGGTGTGTCCCAGGCTACCCCTCCTCCTTCGGTAGCCCCTCCGGTACAGCCTCCCTCCCCACAGTCCTCCTCGCAGCGTGCCGCTGGTGCTAGCTCTCGAGAGGTTGGTGCTGCGCCTCTTCCTGTACCGGTTTCTGGTTCTGGGGGTGCTGGAGTTGGAGCTGGTGTTGGAGCTGGAGGTGGAGCTGGAGTAGGCACTGGAGTTTCTGGTTCTGGGGGTGCTGGAGTTGGAGCTGGAGTTTGTGGTTCTGGAGTTGGAGCTGACCCGGTGGGTGCAGAGGACTCTTGTCGTCCGGGAGCTAGTGCTGGCCGCGCGGACACTGGGGGTGCTCCCTCTGGGGGTGAGGGTGCGCCTCCTTCGGGTTTTGGTGAGCCTAGGTCTGGAGCTGGTGTTAGTGCTGCCTCTGGGGGTGGTGCGCCTGGTTCTTCGGGGGTTGACTCTGGAGCTGCCGCTGCTTCGGACACTACTCCGCCCCCCCACCCCTACCCGACTAGGCACGAGGCTCGTGTTCGCCGTGCCCGTGACGAGCAGCTGGCGTTGGAGAGAGAGGAGAGGGAGTTACAGCGGCTGGCGGAGCAGCAGCAGCAGCTGGACCCGCAGGAGCAGCAGTCCCAGCAGCAGCCGCGTCCGCAGCAGCAGCAGTCGCAGCAGCAGCAGCAGCAGCCACTTCCTCCTCCTGTCTCGGGTCTTCGGGCCCTTGGTCTCCCCTCCCCTTCTCCTCCCTCCTCTGCCTCTCCTCCTGTCTACGGTCCCACGTTTCCTCCTCCTGACTCCTCCCCCGCTGTTTTCCCCAGTTCTCCGCCTTTGTCCTCTCCTCCTCCGTCTCGTTCTTGGGCTACTCGTCGCTCCCCTCGTGCTCGTCCCTCGTCTCATGTTCCCTTCACTGACCTTCGTACTGCCTTCCTTCTTTCTAGTCCACCTCGTCCGTCTCAGTCTGTGCTTCCGTCTCCTCCTGAGTCGGCCCTCACCGTGTCGCTCCCTGCTCCTGTCACTGACTACTACCGCACGTACCGTCCTGTTCTCTCTCGTGTTCTCGCCTCTCTTGTTACTCACCCTCGTGCCTCTGTGTCCTCTGTGTCCGCTCTTACTGCCGCAGTTACTGACTTTGCCTCTACCCGCCGCCTTGACTACGCCACCACGCTTGTGGCTGCTCCTCCTACCAGTCCTCTGGCCGTCGGGGGTGTGTCTGCCCTTGGCCGTGACGCCCTAGAGGACAGGCAGTTTGAGCTAGAGTTCCTGGCGGCCGCTTCCCCTCATCTCTGTGCCATGCTCCTCGCCCCTGAGGGTGACCCCGACGCCCTTGACATTCCGACTCCTCGCACTTACGCTGAGGCAGTGTCAGGGCCTTGGGCCTCTCAGTGGAGAGCTGCCATGGACGCAGAGATGGCCTCCTACAGATCCACAGGCACCTACGTCGATGAGGTTCCCCCCCCTGGGGCGAACGTAGTTGACGGCATGTGGATCTACAGGGTGAAGCGGCCACCGGGATCTCCCCCGGTCTTCAAGGCGCGCTACGTGGCTAGAGGTTTCAGTCAGCGCGAGGGAGTTGACTTCTTTCAGACCTTCGCACCTACCCCGAAGATGACCACTCTTCGGGTGTTACTACACGTAGCAGCACAGAGAGACTACGAGTTACACTCTCTTGACTTCTCCACTGCTTTCCTTCAGGGCAGCCTACACGAGGAGGTCTGGTTGCGTCGTCCCTCCGCCTTCACTGGCACCTTCCCTCCTGGGACCCAGTAGAGGCTGAGGCGACCTGTTTACGGTCTTCGCCAGGCCCCTCGTGAGTGGCACGACACTCTGCGTTCTACCCTCTCTGACCTTGGGTTCCAGCCGTCTTCTGCCGACCCGTCGCTGTTCGTTCGTCGTGGCTCCACACCGTTCTTTGTTCTGGTCTACGTCGACGACCTCGTTTTCGCCACTCCGGACAGGGTTGCTTTGGCAGACGTGAAGTCCGAACTGCAGAAGAGACACACGTGCACTGATCTTGGTGAGCTGCGCCACTACCTTGGCCTGCAGATCACCAGGGACAGAGCCGCTCGCACCATTACACTCTCACAGTCACACATGGTGCAGCAGGTCCTTCAGCGGTTCGGGCTTCAGCACTCCACCGTACAGCGCACACCTCTCGCTGTTGACCACAGACTCACTGGTCCCTTTCCTGACGAGCCGTTTGAGCCTAGTGGTCCCTACGCAGAGCTTGTGGGTTGCCTCATGTACCTGATGACTTGTACTCGCCCGGACCTCGCCTTCCCTCTCAGCATCCTTGCGCGCTTTGTTGCGCCAGGGAGACACCGTCCTGTTCACTGGACGGCAGCTGTGAGGGTGGCGAAGTACCTAGCGACTACATCAGGCGTGGGGCTAGTTCTTGGAGGGCAGCAGTCTGTCGTACTCACTGGTCACTGTGACTCCTCTTACGCTGACGACGCTGAGACTCACAGGTCTACTCAGGGGTACTGTTTCAGTCTGGGTTCTGGAGCTGTTTCCTGGCGTTCCACGCGCTCCTCTTCTGTCTCGACCTCTACAGCTGAGGCTGAGATTTACGCTGGTGCCATGGCGGCACAGGAGTTGCGGTGGTTGACCTTCTTGCTCGCCGACCTTGGTGAGCGGCCGAGCTCTGCACCGTCCTTGTTTACTGACAACAAGGCGTCGATCCTCCTCTGTCGTGAGCCGCGACTGGAGAGCAGAGTGAAGCACATTCACGTCAGGTACTTTCTTCTGCGAGAGTTGCAGAGACGTGGACAGGCTCGCTTCGAGTTCGTGGAGTCCGAGGCCAACACTGCAGACATCTTCACCAAGGCGCTTCTGCCTTGTGACCACCAGAGGTGTTGTGTGCAGTTAGGCCTTGTTGACACAGGTTCTAGTCATGTGTAGACTTGAGTTTATTGCCTGCTTTGTCTGTACACTTGCTATATATACTTGTGATCTCTTGGACTGGCCTTGTGGCCACTGTTGCTTGTGCTCAGAGTGTGTGGTGACGTTGTGATCCACCCTGAGCTTTGTTTTCTTTTGGACTGGTCTTGTGACCGTACTCTTTTTGATTTTGCTAGACACCCCTCACTTAGGCTATGGGGGTGTGTCAAATGTTGTAGCCTGTAGTGAGGTTTGTCTTAGGGGGTACAGAAGTTAGGGTTTGTTATATGTACCCCAACCAACATCAATGGAACATTCATTCCTCATTTTGACAGCTGGCTGAACCTTAAAAGCAACCCTAAACACCCTACACTACATTAAACCCTATGCATAGATCTAATGTCCGTGTACATTGCAAGTATCGGCGTGCACTTGCTTGCACCTAGAACAAGAAGGCTAGGGCGGCTGTGTGAGGGAGCGCTAAGGCGGAAACGCGTTCTGAGTTTGAGCTCACGAAATGAGCTCAAACACAAATTGGTCGCGACCTAAATCTGGTCGCGGCCAATTTTGACGCGAACCTTTTTGGTGTTCGCGTGGCCCCCAAGTCGAACACGAACATGTTCGTGTTCGGCTTGGAGGCCCGAAATTCTGGGGCGAACGTCGAACATGTTCGGCCGAACACCGAACATGTTCGGCCCGAACAATTTAGGCAAAAAAAAAAGCCTGTTCGGTTCGCCTCGAACATGTTCGAGGCGAACCGAACAGGCGTTCGGAATTTTGCTCATCCCACTTACGTACTGTGTAGAATAGCCTCAGTCTAAAAACAGATGCAAAGTTCACCAGCTAACTGGGGAATGGGTTGCTGACACGTGCACGAGAAACAGCGGATAAAAGAACCAATCAAGCAAGTGAATCACGTCAGCAACAACCAAGCCAGAAGTCAGATGAGTTGAGATTACAGAAAGGAGTTCCACATTCTCTATGTAGGTGGGATGAGTCCGCCTTTATCGGGTTATAGAGAAAGGCAAGTCACTCACAACAGCAGCAAAGCAGAGATTACTTGCTCGTAACCGCTTGCACTTCATTCTGTTGCTCTCTCCTGAAATCCCGAGTCGCCTCTGCTCTCGCTCATACCTCTCCCGTCTGGACCCATATTTTTTTTCGTGGCCCGCTTCGGAGCTCCGTATGCCGCACCTCCTTTGATTCGCTCCTTCTAGAAGTCACATTTTCTTCCTCCTTCAGGCCGTGCCGTGGCGTCCTTGTGCCCGTGCCTCGTCCGTACGATCACCCTGCGCCATTCACCCTCGCGACGATGCGATTATGCGACGAGAAGATGGGAGAGGAGGGGAATGGGAGGAGCCGTTAGGAACGGGCTGGATTAGACCCCTGATAGGCCATGATAGGCGCGTGAGAGGCCGTGAAAGGCCGAACCGCTCAGTTCCCTTTGCAGGTTACTAGCACACGGCAACTAGTCGAGAAAGCTAGTTGTGCACCACGGCGAATTAGAGTCAAGGTCAGTGCGCCCATACTAGTACCGCCAATTCATTCGCCGACGACGCCGGCGGAGAGCATTGAGGCAGCGCACTTCTTATAGCCAAGGGACCCTTGTACAAAGCATCTCCTCTTGCGCCACGTTTTCTAGGCGCCTCGCGAATTCTACGTACGGGCGTCGCTCTTTCTGTACATATATCCCCCTCGTACCCCGCCTTTCCAGCCTTCGCCTCCGCCTCTCCTCCTCTCCGGCCCCCTTTCCGCCCGCGCGCCATAGCATTCCCAGAGAAGCTCGCGCGGCAGGCGTCCATGTATTCGCTCACGCTCGACGAATTCCAGGCGACGTTCGCAGGCCCGTCGCATCCTTGCCCATGGGCGATTTCCTGCGATCCGTCTGGCTCGCCGAGGAGTTGCACATGCTCGCCGCCGCGCACGCCACCGGCGGCGGCGATCCGCGCGCGCGCGACAAGGCCGCGGGGCTGCTGCGCGCGCGCTCGCTGCGGCGACAGAAGTCCACCGCGGCGCTTCCGCGCGCGCTGACTGCGCGGACCGTGGAGGACGTGTGGAAAGACATTCAGGCGGAACTAGCGGGGGAGGGGGAAGCAGCGGAGGGGGGGGGAGCGTCAGCGAAAGAAACGCGCGGAAAGGGGAAGGCGGAGCAGCAGCAAGCGCAGGGGCAAGGGCAGCAGCAAAAACGGCAATTGTCGATTGTGGAATTTACACTGGAAGATTTTCTAGTGCGCGCAGGGATTTCCAAAGAAGTATAGGGGGGATGGAGACAATAGGGGGAGAGCCGGAGAATGGGGAGGAGGCAAGTTGCGGGGTGGGCAGCAGTGCGCGGAGAGAGGGGGAGGGGGGAGCCGCGGGCGGGGACAGGGGGGGAGTTGGGGGGGCAACAGCGGGGCGGGGGGAAAGGCGGAGGTGGGGAAGAATGGGGACAAGCAGGGGGGCAGGGCGGGCGGGTGGGGAGCGGGGGAGCGAATGGCCGCAGTTCTTAGGTTGCACATGATTCCGGGTGGGTCAGTGAAGGAGCGGGCAGCACTGTACATCATCAAGGTGAGCGCATGGCGGTGAGTGGAGCACGCCACCCATGCTGCATGCCGTCCCTCCTTCGCCCTGCTGCTCCTGCACCCCCAATCCGCCCCCCAACACCCTCCCCCCGCAAGGCGGCAGAGGCGAGTGGCGAGTTGAGGGAGGGCGGGGTGATCGTGGAGGGCACGGCGGGCAACGCGGGCATCGGGATGGCGCTGGTGGCCAATGCACGCGGGTACAAGACCGTCATCGTCATTCCCGAGACGCAGAGCCAGGTGCGCACACACCCTCATACATGCACATGTGCAGCAATGTGCTTCTTTCCTTCTCTGCCGTTGTTACCCCCACTTCATAAACTGTGTGTGTGGTGTGTGTAGTGTGTGGTGTGTGGATTGTGTGTTTGTGGTGTGTGGTGGGTGTACGTGAGTGTGTGTATGTGTGTGTGTGTGTGTGTGTGTGCGTGTGTGTGTGTCTGTGTGTGGTGTGGTGTGCATGTGTGCACGTGTGTGTGAGTGCCGTGCAAGAGCAGGAGAAGAAGGACATGCTGCGCATTGCTGGGGCCACGCTGGTAGAGGTACGTGTCCGCCATGCACCTCCTCCCTTGCTGCACCTCGCTCAACCACCGCTCGTCCTACCCAACGAACCTCTCTTCTCTCTCTCGATCACCATCCCTATCCTCACCACCACGCCAGACACTGACTTTCAGCTTCCACTGCTACTTCCCGTGCATTGCCTTGCGCACCCGGCATGTGGGCGTGACGTGCATGCATGCGTGGGGGTGGGCGTGCAGGTGCCAGCAGTGCCGTACAAGAACCCCAACAACTACGTCAAGTACTCGGGCAGGCTCGCTCAAGCCATTGCCAAGGTGCCCTCCTGCTCACACGCCTCCGCCATGCTGTGTGTCCGTGCATCCCACCGCTGTCGCCACAGTGCATGCCGTGCCTTGCACCAAATACTTTCTCCCTCCCCACCATGCTCTCGCTCTGCTGCTCCCTCGTTCTACTGATTTCTCCCTGCCCGCTGCTCTGCGTGTGGTCCTCTGTGCTGCAGACACATCCAGGCGGTGCCATATGGGGCAACCAGGTGAGCGCTACTAGTGGGAGGTTGGGGGGACGCACGTGATGTGGGGTTGATGCGACTGGCTGCATGCTCTGATGCATCAACGGCCTCGCCCTCACTGCTCTTGCTACGCACCACGCTCCACTTTCCTCCCTGTTTTGCTCATTTGTCGTTCGTCCATGCTTCAGACCCTGTATCTTTATCCTAGCTTTCTTGACTTACATTGCACCTTTGTTCTTCCTTCAAACCCTGTATGTTCTCTCCTGCTGCTGCCCTTCAGTTAGACAACACAGCCAATCGCCAGGCGCACTACGAGACAACGGGTGAGTCACGGCACATTTCTCCCAGGTCCTCATGTGACTCTCTGCATGCGTCCATGGCCTCCGCACAACGCTCTCTCCTTGTGTGCGTGCATGGTGCTGTGCGCATGTGGGCGTGTGTGGCAGGGCCGGAGATCTGGACGGAGGGGCGAGTGGACGCGTTCATCTGCGCCATTGGCACGGGGGGCACGCTCGCTGGCACCGGCAAGGTGGGCTTTGCGATTCACGGGAGGGTGGCAGGGAGGAGTAAACTGGGAGACGGGGTGAAGGGGCGGGGAAGGGCTGGGAGGAGAGGGGGATGGCGATGCTTGTCAACTGGTCTCCGCGCCTCGTGAAGAATTTGAAAATCTTGCAGCAATGTAGCACGATTGAAGTCCCCACCCCCTGTTGCACTGCACCCTTCCATGTCCTCTCGTGTGCTGCACCTCGCACCCTCTTAGCCCGTTAAGTCCTTACCCTATACGCATCTCCACCTCCCCCCCCCCACCCTTTCCCCTGGTGTGTGCAGTACCTGAAGGAGCGCAAGGCGGGGGTGCGCGTGGGCATGGTGGACCCAATGGGCGCAGGGCGCAGCTACTACAACAACGGCACGCTTGAGGCCCACGGCTCCTCTGTGAGATGCCGCCTTGGGAATGGGCACAGGGGGATGACCGGGGAAGGGGGATGAGAGGAGAAGGGTAATGTTGGGAAAAGGTTAAAACTGGGGAAGGCGGAAAGAGGGCGAATCGGGAAGGGTGGATGGGTTGGGTGGACTATAATGCCTGGGACTGGAGTGGTAGCTGCGCCCTTTCCACCACTGTGCTCAGCAGTCCCCACCTCTGCCCTCACCACTGGCCCCTGCTGCCGCTGTGTGCTGTCGATGGTGTGCAGATATCAGAGGGCATAGGGCAGGGGCGCATCACAGGCAACCTGCAGGGGTCGGGGCTTCCGGAGAGAGAAGGGGGATGCGTTGACTTCTGCTGCCAGGTAACTGCCCTCACTCCCCCCACCCACACTCTCCCTCGCCTCTCTTTTCGCTCTCAGCGCTGCTCGCTGCTGCTGCACCCCCCGCGTGCACTCTGTGTGCCACAGCACCTTCCCTGCTTCTGTGTCACCCCCCCGTGTGCGGCAGGTGGAGGATGCGGAGGCGCTGCCAGTGGTGTACGACCTGCTGCGCTACGAGGGGCTGTGTGTGGGGCTGTCATCGGGCATCAACGTGGCGGGCGCCATGCGCCTGGCGCGCGCCATGGGGCCGGGCCACACCATCGTGACGGTGCTGTGTGACCTGGGCACGCGCTACCAGGGCCGCCTCTTCAACCCGCCCTTCCTCACCAGGGCAGAGCTTGCGCAAGAGGTGCCAGGCAGCAAGCCCCACACCACCGTGTGCGTTCATCATGCAGCAGTGCCCTGCTTGCCCCGGCCTAGGATCTTGGCCACCCAGCTGCCCGAATCACCCATGCGCCGGCCCTCACTGGAGCCCTCCTGCGACCGACTCAGGTTGATGGCCGACCCCCCCGTGCTGCGCTGCTCCAGCAGTGGCACCACCGGCAGCTCCCCCACAGGCGCCTTGCTCTGCACCTCTGCCGTGCGCTCACTGTCACTGCTCAGCCTCCATCAGTACCGCTGCTGCCGCTGCGAGAGCAGTGCTGGCGTGTGCCATGCGCCACGTGGCAACATCCACCTCATTGGCGGGGTTCACATTGCACACACACAGCACCTCCCGTGACCACCCGCCCGCCCATGCTGCATCACCCACCGCCGCTTCATCATAAGTCGCCATACCTTGTGCAGGCGCACCAGCGCTTGACACCCTCTCCTCATTCACTGCCTGCAATCCATCAATGCCTCCAGGAGCAGCGTCAGGAGCGGCAGGAGCGGAGAGCGTGGCGAGGTAGGTCTTCTTGACGGCGTGCAGCGCCTTCACCACCTCCACCATCTCGGGGCGCCGCGTGGCGGGCTGCTGCACGCAGTGTGCTGCGATCTGAGCCATGGAGAGCAGTGCAGGCAGATTGAGTGGTGTGGCAACGCGCATGTCAACGATGAGGTGGATGTGGCGCGAGGCCACCAAGGGCAGCACCACCGTGGTTATGTGCACCAGCCGATCCTTGTCGTCTGGATCCCTCTCCATCTCCTCCCTCCCCGTCACCAGCTCCAGCAGTAGCACTCCAAAACTGACCACGCACACACCAACCCAATGAGCCGTGGGGAGGAGATCACAATGGGAGGGGGCATTGTAGAACCACAACGAGAGTTCAAGTTACATATGTGAGTGACCCCCCAATAAGCAGTGGGATGAGAGTGCAAAGAACGAGTGTGGCAGGGCAACTGCGTGGGTACAAAGGATAGTTGAGGGACACAAAGCACGAATGCAGCGGCAGAGAGCGCGGCAGTATGCATCGCTGCGGTACCTGTAGACATCGCTGCGGTACCTGTAGACATCGCTGCGAGTGGTGAGCATTTCGAGCGTCATATAGTCGGGATCCATGTAGCCCCGTGTGCCCGCCACCTTGGTGAACGTGCCCATCTCCTCCTTGCCCACCTCCCTCAGCAACCCAAAGTCCGCTATCTTCACCTGCACGCCCGCCCACCCACACCCACACCCATGCCCGCGCCCGCGCCCGTGCACGCGCACGTGCACGCGCGCGCGCGCTCACACACACACACACACACACACACACACACACACACACACACACACACACACACACACACACACACCACGCACGCACGCACGCACGCACGCACGCACGCACGCACGCACGCACGCACGCACGCACGCACGCACGCACGCACGCACGCACGCACGCACGCACGCACGCACGCACGCACGCACGCACGCACGCACGCACGCACGCACGCACGCACGCACGCACGCACGCACGCACGCACGCACGCACGCACGCACGCACGCACGCACGCACGCACGCACGCACGCACGCACGCACGCACGCACGCACGCACGCACGCACGCACGCACGCACGCACGCACGCACGCACGCACGCACGCACGCACGCACGCACGCACGCACGCACGCACGCACGCACGCACGCACGCACGCACGCACGCACGCACGCACGCACGCACGCACGCACGCACGCACGCACGCACGCACGCACGCACGCACGCACGCACGCACGCACGCACGCACGCACGCACGCACGCACGCACGCACGCACGCACGCACGCACGCACGCACGCACGCACGCACGCACGCACGCACGCACGCACGCACGCACGCACGCACGCACGCACGCACGCACGCACGCACGCACGCACGCACGCACGCACGCACGCACGCACGCACGCACGCACGCACGCACGCACGCACGCACGCACGCACGCACGCACGCACGCACGCACGCACGCACGCACGCACGCACGCACGCACGCACGCACGCACGCACGCACGCCACGCACGCACGCACGCACGCACGCACGCACGCACGCACGCACGCACGCACGCACGCACGCACGCACGCACGCACGCACGCACGCACGCACGCACGCACGCACGCACGCACGCACGCACGCACGCACGCACGCACGCACGCACGCACGCACGCACGCACGCACGCACGCACGCACGCACGCACGCACGCACGCACGCACGCACGCACGCACGCACGCACGCACGCACGCACGCACGCACGCACGCACGCACGCACGCACGCACGCACGCACGCACGCACGCACGCACGCACGCACGCACGCACGCACGCACGCACGCACGCACGCACGCACGCACGCACGCACGCACGCACGCACGCACGCACGCACGCACGCACGCACGCACGCACGCACGCACGCACGCACGCACGCACGCACGCACGCACGCACGCACGCACGCACGCACGCACGCACGCACGCACGCACGCACGCACGCACGCACGCACGCACGCACGCACGCACGCACGCACGCACGCACGCACGCACGCACGCACGCACGCACGCACGCACGCACGCACGCACGCACGCACGCACGCACGCACGCACGCACGCACGCACGCACGCACGCACGCACGCACGCACGCACGCACGCACGCACGCACGCACGCACGCACGCACGCACGCACGCACGCACGCACGCACGCACGCACGCACGCACGCACGCACGCACGCACGCACGCACGCACGCACGCACGCACGCACGCACGCACGCACGCACGCACGCACGCACGCACGCACGCACGCACGCACGCACGCACGCACGCACGCACGCACGCACGCACGCACGCACGCACGCACGCACGCACGCACGCACGCACGCACGCACGCACGCACGCACGCACGCACGCACGCACGCACGCACGCACGCACGCACGCACGCACGCACGCACGCACGCACGCACGCACGCACGCACGCACGCACGCACGCACGCACGCACGCACGCACGCACGCACGCACGCACGCACGCACGCACGCACGCACGCACGCACGCACGCACGCACGCACGCACGCACGCACGCACGCACGCACGCACGCAGATTTTTTTTTCTTGTGTACTCTGATAAAATCAGACTTTTTTGGGCATCGACTCTGTAATTTTCAGACTTTTTTAAAGGCTAACTCCGAGAGTTCAGAGTTTTCTAAGAGTGTTCTCTGATAATTCAGAATACAAACGCATCCTTGACTGGTGATTCGGACTTCGGGTCACAGCAGATTCGCACTGACACAGCAAATCTGACTCTTACAGCACTAGATTTTCGCCCAATCATAGGAAAATCGTTCTGACAAAACAGATTTGCGCTGTCAGAGTACAACAATCTTCGTCCAATCACAACAAAATCGCCCTGATATTGCAGATTCGCCCTGACACATATATTTGCCCTGTCAGAGCATGTTTCGATAATAGATGAACGAAACATTGAATACAGTTCCGATGAAACATTGAATACATTGATTTTGAATGATCAGACTTTTGTTTTAAGACACTCTGAAATTTCAGCCTTTTTTCTATACCAAGTCTGAGATTTTCAGACTAAAACTGTGTACTAGTCTTACGAATCAGACAGGCCAAAAACGAATCTGAGGGCCTGCAAGGTACCCTATGGCCCCGGATATAGGCGCCGTCCGATTAAAGGCGCCGTCCGATTAAAGGCGCCGACGCCTATATCTGGAGCATGGCGCTTGTGGCCGTTCTTCGATTATAAGCGCCCCCCCTGTAAAACCCTGATTTATTATAAGCGCATGTATAATTTTATTCTTTCAATCCTGATTAAAACAGTAACGAATTTCGAAATTCAAGCGAGTCAGCACCCATTTTCACTTTGTTTGACTTTCGAGGTCTTGATTAGTTTCGCGTCCAGTCAGGATAATGTGGCACGCGGGCAAATTGACGCGCGAAAAGCTATGTGCAGCGTCAGAGATTCGCCCTCACGCGATTCAAATTTAGGACGCTATTGAATGTAGACTCGATTGAACCTACGAGACAGAAATATACATTTTTATGCGTTTAAGTTGTATTTCTTTATTTGTCATTATATAAGCACCGGCGCTTATTGAGAAAATATGAACGAGAATGAAATGACTATGAACGAAGTGGGTACAAATAGGAAACCCCTAATTTGGGTTGTACTCCCTATGGGATACCCCACTATAGCCTACAGAAACAAGTAAGCTATATGTTCTGACACACCCCCATAGGCAAAGTGGGGGAGAACAAGGGGTCACAAGACCAGTCAAGCAAAGCAAAGCAAAGCTCAGGGTGGATCACAAAGTCACCACGCATTCCGAGCACAAGTTCAAAGGCCAGAAGGCCAGTTCACATGCAAGATCATATATAGAGATATACAAGAGTCAAGTAAGCAAGATCAAGAGTATATATAGGCGAAGGTACAAGCAAAGTCAAGAGGAGAGCAAGTGAGGCAAGACAGGCACAAGACCCAACTGCGTGCAACAACGCTGATGATCACAAGGCGCAAGTGCCTTGGTGAAGACATCAGCAGTGTTGGCCTCAGAGGCCACGTACGCAAGTCGCAACTGTCCACGCTGCTGTAGCTCACGAGCAAGAAAGTAGCGGAGAGCAATGTGTTTCGTTCTGTGCTCCAGTCGCTGCTCTCGACACAAGGCCAGCATGGCCTTGTTGTCTACGTACAGGACTGGAGGAGAACGAGGCTGCTCTCCAAGGTCGGTCAGCAGGTAGGTGAGCCAGCGTAACTCCTGTGCAGCCATAGCCCCAGCGTAGATCTCAGCCTCACAACTGGAGCCGAGAACAGAAGACGAGCGGGTAGCCCGCCACGAAACAGAGCCGGAACCAAGGCTGAAGGTGTAACCCTGTGACGACCGCTGCGTAGCCTGGTCGTCAGCCCAAGAAGCGTCTGCGTGCCCAGTGAGGACCACTGGACTGCGCCCTCCAAGCACTAGCCCCATGCCCGACGTACTGCACAAGTAGCGCAACACCCTCTTCGCTGCAGCCATGTGCTCTGGTCGGTGTCTCCCAGGAGCAACATAGCGTGCGAGAATGCTAAGAGGGTATGCAAGGTCAGGTCGTGTGCAGGTCATCAGGTACATGAGGCAGCCAACAAGCTCTGCAAACGGGCCACTCGACTCTACGGACTCATCCGAAGGCAGAGCTGAGAGCGAGTGGCGAGTAGGCAGAGGAGTGGCCTGAGGCGAGGAGTACGTGAAGCCGAAGCGCTGAAGGACCTGCTGCACCATGTGTGACTGAGTCAGGGTAATGGTGCGGCGTGCTCTGTCCCGGGTGATCTGCAAGCCAAGGTAGCTA